TAGATATGAAGCCATATTTCTAAGTGTTTACATCTATAGATATAAAGCCATATTTCTAAGTGTTTACATCTATAGATATGAAGCCATATTTCTAAGTGTTTACATCTATAGATATGAAGCCACTTCATATCTATAGATGTAAACACTTAGAAATATGGCTTCATATCTATAGATGTAAACACTTAGAAATACTATATTTCTAAGTGTTTACATCTATAGCTATGAAGCTATATTTCTAAGTGTTTACATCTATAGATATGAAGCTATCAATATGATTTTAATCAGCTTGTGTTCTGTCTGCGATATTTACACAGATGAAAAGGTAAAATAATTTCATGTATTCTGACTGTTACTGACTTTATTTATCATTGTAATTTTTGCTCTATGAGTAGATCGCACTCTCACTGATGTTGTACTTTTTTCTAATAAGTTGTCAAGGTAGCGCAGTAGATGCGTTAATAAAGTAAACTAACGCGAATCTGCATTAAACTAAAATCATTTGAGCAGCTTAATCAAAAACATAAGTTGCATAGTTCTCTGTAGTAATGCAAGGTGGATAAAAACTACGTTTTGGTTATGTTATGTGTAATGAAAGTCAGCAAAATCTTGAAGCTTTCGAACGTTCTTCCTTTTGTTTCAGTTTATTTGGTGCTTAGGGATAATTTATGAAAATAGTTATATGACTCATAAAAGGTCAATATTAAAAACTAGACATCAGTTGGTGATTTACAACTTGCAGCAAAATCCTGTAAAATAGCTCTACTGATCAGGAACAATTATTTATTGCAAATATAAACAATTTCTTTTACGTAGTTTCTTATCTAACACAGAAATGAAAACACTAATAAGATCGTTCTTATTTTTTATAAGCCTCTTCAGATACTGGTGCAGCTATGCTCTTTATGGATTGGAAAATATTTTCATTATTGACGAAAAGGAGCCGACAATTAATCCTATTTAAGAATATTATCTATAGCGATCATTGCTTTGATTCTCACGTGTGTATAAATAGTTTTCATTAATATTATACCGGATGCTCAAAATTGAAAGTATGATAAAATCAAAATATTTTCCCTCCTTACCCAATTTCAATATGTATTATTTTACAATTATTCAATATATATTCACATTTTTAGTTGCCTTACAAACTATACTGTAGGAGTTAACTGATGTATTTTTATTCTAGATAAGCACTGCAATTGAGATATCTTTGTTGATCTTTTTTATTTTAAATTGGTTATTATTATGTTACATTGGTTATTATTATGTTATTATTATTATGTTACTTGTTAGAGATTCTTATTTATTACTCATATTTTATGTGTGTCAAGTTTCTTTGTCGATTTGAGTTTTATAAAAGTATTTATAAAAATAGGTAAAAACATATATTTTTTCCATTCAATTTGACAACACTTGTTTAGTGAATACAGTCGTTGAGATTGTTTTCGAAATGTGTTATATAATGATTAATTCTTACGTACTTTACCATACAGCGGAAACAAGATATACAATGTGTTTGCTAATTTGATATTAGGCAAAATATTAATGTACAATTTAATGATAAACCATATGAGCAACAAAGTTTGAGACATTGATCTTCTGAAGAACAAAACATACGAAACATTTTACTTTATCATCCCAGCAATGACAATATGAGTATTACAATGTTACTATGTATTAGTTCTATAAGTTCCATATGACTTTAACATAGAGTATGTTTGGCTTCAATCAAAACACACTTTTCAAAAACTCGAGGCTGCTAAGTCTCAATGCTCATCTAGGTGCAATATACAAAACAGTCAAATATGGAATGTAGAGATGTGAGGATTAAAACTTACTGAAAAGTTTTGAAGTAACAAAAGTTAGGTACATAAACAAAACTCATTTCTGAAATAAAAAATAGATTTCATAGAAAAAATTATATTTTTTATGCCTAACGTAAATATCTCTGAAATCTAATATATGCGATATTTTTCATTGATTTGAAAGTAGAAAATTAAGAGTACGTACAGTGCCTTGCAAATTATTCATCCTCCTGCAAAGTTTTCACATGTTGTCTGACTTTGCAGTCATGAAACTTTCAAATGGGATTTTATATTTAGGATCTATACAATCTACCCTAAACTGAAGGAAACTAAAAAAAATGCTGATATTATGTAAGTAAGTAAGATTTTCAATTAGAATATTCTCAATTGTATAAATATTCAACCTCTTGCTAAGACAACCCTAAATCAGTCCAGGTGCAAAAGATTAGTTTGAAAGGTCACACAATTAGTGTAATGGTCTCTGTCTGTATGTAATCAAAATGGTTTAACTTGACTTCAGAGCAAATGCATCTGTTGAAGCTCCATTTCACAGTGATATCTCTAACCAATTTCCTATTTGCCCGACTGCTTTATTTGGAAGGATGGCCTGTTCTGGGTAGTCACTGTGTGTTATAAAGCACATTCCACTTCTTAATGATGTACTTCAACCTACTCAAAGAGATAAGTGGTGGCTTTAATATTTTTTGGAATCTTTTCCTGATCTTTGCTTCTCTACCACTTTATCCCTGACTTGTTTGGAAAGCTCCTTGGTCTTCATGGTTAATTTGTCTTATCACTATTATCTCAATTTGTATCTCGTCTGACCACAAAACCTTCTGCCACATGTTTACAGTATCACTTACATGGTTTTTTGCAAACTCCATACGAGATTTAAGATGATTATTTTAAAGTAATGGCTTCTTTCTTGCTGCTTGCCCATACAGGCCAGACGAGACACAAATTGAGATTTTTGGTCTAAATTCAAAGTTTTACGTCTAGCGCAAGCCCAACTCAGCACATCATCCAGTCAACGCCATCCCAACTGTCGAGTATGGTGGTGGCAGCATCATGTTATGGGATGCTTCTCGTCAGCAGGGACTGGGAAGCTTGTCAAGCCTGAGGGAAGATAGATGGTGCAAAGTAAAGGCGAATCCTAGAGGTAAACCTGTTTAGTTAGCTAAGAATCTAAAACTGAATCGAAAATTCATAATTCAGCAGGACAATGACCAGGAGCACAAGACTGAAGCCACACTGGAGTGGTTTCAAAAGAAGAAAATGAATGTTCTGGAGTGGCCTAGATAAAGTCCTGAATTGAATCCAATAGAAAAGTTATGGCGAAACTTGAAGGTTGCAGTCCATCTACGATTCCCAACTAATTAGTCAGAATTGGAACAATTTTGCCAGAAAAAATGGACAAAATTACTCTATCCTATGGAGAAAAACTGTTTGAGACCTATCCCAAAAGACTCACAGCAATATTTGTTGCCAAAGGTGCTTCCACCAAGTACTGACTTAGGGGTTTGATTACTTATGCAATCAGCAAATTTCGATTTATATATTTTCTTTGCAGGTTTTTCTTACATTCAACCCCTTCACACATAACTGTTTTAAGTTTGATCATTGGAGTTTTGAATAAAAACAAATTCATTAAAAATATTGTTTACATTATTTGTATCTCACGAAAATGTGACATTATTGGCAGGGTGTGAATACTTTTGTAAGACTCTGTAATTGGAACAATACACATGCACGTAAAGTACTTTGCTTAACAGGATTGATTGTTATTGAAGAAGACAGACCAGCATTCTGTCGAAACATGTATTTTGTACTACCATCAATAAAATTCTTCCTTGTGTTTATAAATCGTTGTTTGCCTGCCTTTTATTATTAGAACTGATTGTTGAATTTCGCGCATAGCTACTCAAGGGTTATCTGCGCTAACCGTCCCTAATTTTGAAGTGCTTAACTAGAGGGAAGGCAGCTAGTCCACACCACTTTGTTGTATCTGTGTCGTCTATAAGATATACACGTTGTTACATCTGTGTCATCAATAAGATACATTTTGTTATATATTTGTGTCTTCTATAATATATATATTTTGTTACTTCTTCTATAAGATATATTTTGCTACCTAAATGTTTTCTAAAAATATTTTTTTTCTGTACGTTATAGATTAAGAACCCGATAGTTAACACTATTTGCTACCTAAATGTTTTCTAAAAATATTTTTTTCTGTACGTTATAGATTAAGAACCCGATAGTTAACACTTTTACAATGAAACTATTTAAATGTTTCTTAGTTTACTTAATTAAAACAGGACAAAAACATAAATGTTTCTTGTTGCCTTTCTTCTCAATATGGGATAATGACAGAAAATTTTGGTTTTCTTTGAACACTTAATGATGTCTATGTAAGGAATCTTTTGACATAATAAAGTCGAAAAAACGTAATATTTAAATGAAAATTTCAAAACGAAAAATACTTTGACAAATTATATTCCATTTGGGACCAAAAAGATAAAAAAAATTAACATTTCAATACAAGTTTATAATTTTTGAGGTATTTGCAATGTATATCATAAATTTCCATATTTTCCATTTCATGACTCAATAATTTAACTCATGAAAGTACTGTCGAAAGACATTTACTACAATTTCACTGTGTAAAAGTGAAATTTGTAAAACATACTTACCTTTCATATTCAGCATAAAATGAAATATCGAGCAATAAATATCTCATCATGCCGGGAACTATGCTATTTTTTACTTATATATATAACGTTTATGGCTTAGGTCTATGAATCGTCAACTAATTCCTGTTGTTAGTATATTGAAGACACTTTGACACAATCTTTAGCAAAAATCAAATATATATTGTAATGGGCTGGATATTTTTTCCATAGTCCTTGCGGACCGTTGAGCCGATGGCAGAGCAAGATCTGCCATCGTTTCTAAAGCTGTTTCTTACGTCAACGATGCAACCCACTTGACAGCCTTCCCTCTTTGAAAGGACGAGCATGGTGACAAGGTTTCGAACCTGCGACCCTCAGATTGCGAGTCGAGCACCTTAACCACCTGGCCATGCCGGGCCGGGCTGGATATTAGCACTATTATATGCAAGTGATAAAAGCATTTTCTAACTGTAAAATGATGTATGGATGACAGTGCCAAAAACAATGCAAAACACTGATGTACGGATGATACGGCTATACATAGATCATACCTACACGACTTTCAATATTAAAATTTATTGTCACAATGTAAAATGCACGAGTACAAAATGGTTGCGAGGTCGGTCAATACGACCGACCTCGTAGCAAGAGTCTGTAAAAGTCTGTAATAATCAAGACATGTTTTGACTCAACTTGATTTTCCTTGTACACTACATTGATGCCTATCCTGACATGACCATGATATTGTGATAAACAAACTGCATACCAACAGTCAGAACATATAATTTCCAACTACAGTAATATTAAATAAAATTATATATTTTACAGTTTAACATTAAATTTTAATATTGAAAGTCATATAGGTATGATCTATGTATAGCTGTATCATCCATATATACGTGTTTGCATTCTCTTTGGCACTGCTATTCTTACATTATTTTACGTTGTGACTTTTTTCCTAACTGAAAATTGATGTATTATATGAATGTGTGTGTAATAATAGTTAATATTACGTGTAATGATTTTTTTTTTACTCCTCCACTTCACAGATAATATAGGGGTTGGCTTCCTAAAGATGCTGACTGTATAGTGTACAAAGCATTGAGTATCCATGTTACAGTCATTTAATGTTCATCTATTATTGGTTGGTAATCCCTATTTCACCCTGTACTCAAGCTTTTGAAAGTAGCACCAAATTTCTGTATGAAAGCTAACTTCAATAGAAATGATAACATAGTTCACACTAGAATTATTATTATTATTATTTAATTACTATTAGTAATTACGACTAAGAGATGACATCGTGCACTGCCAATAAACACACAGAGTGGATTTAGGTTTAAACTGATGTCAGTGATAAAGTAGGTGTAGAGTTATCTCGACTGAAACAAAAAAAAAGAACAATTTGATGAGTTGATAATTTTCTGGTTTGGCTATTTTAGCGATGGCTTCTTGCCTTGTTTTTGGGCTTATGAAACAAATGAAACTGAGTGACAATCATATTTTGAGGTAGAATTTTCTGTTATTGTTGATTTTTAGCATGTATATTTGTATTATGCCGATTGAGTACCTTGGCCATCCCTACATATAGAATCTACCAACTCTATGACATATATATATATATATAGTTTATGATTTAGGTTTACGAATCGACAACTAATCCCTGTTGTTGGTATTTTGCAGACACATGGACACAATATTTAACAACAAATAAACATACATTATAATTGGCTGGACATTAGCATTATTGTACATATACAGCTTATAAGAATACGTTGTTTTCAACCAATGATGCGTAACGTTGGTTTTTCTAAAACCATAAAAGGAAAGTATTGAAACAGAAAAATGTGGAAACACACGTTAAAATATTACATCAGTATTCTGAAATACAACATTATTTTTATCCGAGAATAAGAGTATTGATGATCAATAAAATGTTAATATTATAAATACACCATAATCCATAGTAAGACGTATTTTACTCCCCCTGACTGTCGTAATAAGTACCCAAGAGTATTGTGGTGATCTTCTTGAAAAGTAACATTTGGCAAAATGTTTGAACTTTCTTACGTATTAGAGTTTTTTATAAAGGCAGAGACCCAGTCCACGGAGATGTGGATGTTTCATGTCATTATATTTACTACTGCTTTTTTTTTGCCTGGAATGAACTGGATTAACCAAGAGAGATAAGCTGGACCTATATCATAATGAAAAGTATCAACCATATTGTTGGTATGAACGTGCTTTGTAGTCACTATGAGAAAAACCTATACAATGGATAGGTGAAGTTAACATGGTTAACTTGTGTTCAGGGTTAATGATGAGGACTGGAATTCTTCGAAACTAGTATAACCCAATAATATTGATCAAAGTGTAGATTAAACTGGACCTCCCTTGAACTTGGACTTCGAGATTAAACAATTCTCGGAATACTAAGTTTATTTATTATATCTGCTATTGTGCAGCTACATAAAGTGAAGAAGTGACTAGTGGTCAATGACACTTTTTTCTTTCCTTCATGTATAGGTTTTTCTCACAGTGACTACAAAACACGTTCATACCAACAATATGGTTGAAACTTGAGTATCTAGTGATTTTACAGCGTTTATTATGGCATTTAACCACATCGAAATATATCAACATAAGTAGTTTGGGATGGTACTTGAAGAATATTTTCGTATGAAACCTTGAGGAAACTAAACTTGTACTAACTGGTTGACCGTCTTCTTAGCAGTAACGATTTGATACTAAATGAAATATTTGGATTAAAAATGAGATTATTTTAAGGTATCTAGACTTCAAGTTACAAGTGATGCAAATCATTAAGCGACTCCTCTGTATTTGACTTTCTGTATAACTGTCTATTTATTTATGTACGGTAGATATACATATACAATTAAAGCTTAAAAACGATTTTTGAGGTAAAAACTCCACATTTAATTAATCGTTGAACTTAAAATAAAACTCGTAATAATGATTTGTAATTGTTTAATATATACGGATACTATCAATTTAGCAACACCCTATTTGCTGTCATTCGCTGATTAAATACGATACGTATATTTTCTCTAACGTTATTAGGATCATTAGGATATTTACAGTGTAGTTCAGGAAGTAGGCTTACACACTGATATGAAACTTATGTGACATAAAATGAGGAAATACGTCAAGCGTATTACCATTGATTATGTATGGATACAGCTTATACATATGCACAATAATATCTCCAAAGGAAAACAAACCAATTAAGCACGGTTGAGAATAGACATTTTGAAACTGATGTGTTATACAGTAGAAATATGTTCATCAACTAACCACATGCTGGAATCGTTC